AAACTTGGAATACGTCTTCAAAAAAAGTGGGGAGACAGTCATCGTCCTAGTTCAATGGCTCTCACCCCCGGCTACACATTAGCAGCACCTGAGGAGCTTTTAAAGCTCATAAGGCTTAGGCCCCAATTCAGGTCAAGTGAATCAGGGTCTCTGGGGTGGGACCTGGACAGTGGTTTTGAAAAAGGCCTCATGTGCTACTAATAGTGCAGCTGCGGATAAATCCACTGATTTATTTGTTACATGACACCACAAGAATAAAAAGATAAACCCAAGATAATTTTACATGCACATTAATGGCACAAAATCATGGAGAGCTTTACCACCATTTAAAAACTTCTGTGCCTACCCTCAGAAAGTTCTAGTCCTGCAGAAGCCATGGTGCTACAGGTCATCAAGGTCTTGCCACCTGCAAGAGAAGGCCTGGAACAGAAGCACCCAACATCTTTCCAGAAATCCTAAAATGTAGGGAAATCAAGGCAGAAGTTGTCTTCTCCCTAAATTGTCTTTCCAATGAACAGGGAAAAGGCATTCTTAATCTTCCTTCACCAGAAATAGGAATTGAGTATTTATGACAGGCTTGGTGCTGCCAGGAGGAAGAAGATAAAGTCACTGAAAACTGGGGTGCCTGTCCTGGCTTTACTCAAGGTTCCATGAGTACAATGTTCCAAAACAGCCATTAAGCTGGTGATGGAGAATAGCTTTTGGACTCTATCAATTAAGTGAGACACTCGTCTGGTATAAACCAGGTACTTTCCCAGAGGTTGCTACCTCGTTACAAAGGTAAGGGACTCACTTTCTCAATGACATCATCAGCCTATTAGGAGCTGTTGAAAGCACACCCCCCGCACTCAGGCATCCATGCCTGGTCAAAGCAGGCTGAACAGACATTTCCCCCGAGTACACAACATACTGAATGTTAACCTCATGAAGTAAAAACACTAGCCATACCTTGAAGAAAGCAGGTCAAGCCTCATAAGAATCAGCTGACAGGCTTTACCTGGTTCCACTACCCCATTCTCTGCTTGTTTCTCTTGAAAACCTGTAAACCATTAAGTTCACCTGCTTCAAAGATGAATAAAAAACTAAAAAGTGGAAAAAAAGAGGGGAGTGAATAATATATTTCCTCTTGCGTTTTTCCTAAGGTAGATCCATCATGATGCTGATGTCGAAAGAAAAGTTAATAAGAAGGTTCTTCTCTGTATAATCCATCTGATACCATATTCCCACGCCCATCCCTGGACTGCGAAACAGAAATCGCCATTTCTAACAGAAGCATCTCTGGACAAAACAGACTTTATCCTTCCCAGGGCGGGGAAAGGGTTAAAGAGGGACAGCAACTGCTGCAGACCCAGGCTGACAGTGGGAAACTGCTCCTCCAGCTCTCCAGCAACTCTGCTCATATCAGACTGTTTTTCTTCCTTCTTGCCTCCCTTGTAATTCTCCTGGGCTGGGAATACCCAGTGATGTCTGCCCTATTTCTGGGGAGATGAAAGATAAAACTGCTGGATTTTTCTCTAGCATTCCAAATGCTTCAAGTCAGAACCTGAACCTTGAAAGAGAAGGAAATCTTTGAAAACAGCTTCAATCACTTTCCATGTTCACAAATAGATATTCAGTTACCAGACTCAAATAGTTTTTCCATTTTAAACAATGAAGAACTATTCATTCATTCGTTCATTCCACAGATATTCACTGGATGACTTTTTGTGCCTGTTCCTCCCATGGAGGAAAGGTATGCACAGGGGATTATGAAAAGAAGCCTGCTAAGTGTGGTGCGGATCACATCAGTTAGGAAAATTGCTGGTAGGCTGCTTGCAAACATCTCAAGTATTATTTTTTGCTTTTAAACATCAGTTTGATATGGTGATAGACTACTATATGAATTGTTTTCTTTCTTTTTTATTGAAGTATAGTTGATCTACAGTGTTGTGTCAATTTCTGGGGTACAGCATAGTGATTCAGATTATATATACATATATGTATATATATATT